CAAAAACATTTCTTATCAGAAACGAGCAAGTATTTGGTTTTGGTTTCCTTCGTTGGCTGCTCTCTGCTGAGTGTGTCCAGAGGGAGCCTGGGAAAGTGAGGAAGGACGGTTGTCCTCCCCTCAATGCTGCCATGGCCGCTCCTACCTGAGGGGCTGCGGTGCGCAGGCGTGCGGAGCGGCTGTGCGTCCTCTTTCATGCCTTGCAGTGGCCCGCTGAGACGGGTGGTGTTCACCCCCAGTTAGTGACCAGGCCGCTCAGCTCAAAGTGGGTGAGGGGCCCTCAGTCTCAGCGAGGCAGTGGTGAAGGAGAAGCCACCACAGAGTCAGTCAGGCCGATGGCTCCTGTCCCTGGAGGTCCAGGAGCCGCCCTGGCGCTGGACGGCCCCATGGCCAGCCCTGCACTTCTTTGTTTGTATCACCAGCTTTCATGTGAGCAGAACCCCCTGCCCTCCTCGTGTGAAGCCTTTGAAAGCTTACATTTCAGCCTCACGTTTGAGAGCGTGGGGAGTCACACTTAGGCTTCAGGTACAGACACTGTCCTGTCCCAGGGTCACAGGGATGGCTTTCCCCACAGGAAATGGGAAGGACAGTCCCCACTGGGAGATACGCATGCTGCCCTGGCCAGTGCTGCTCTCGGTAGAGCGTCGGCCCGTGCATGCAGGGTCCCGGGTTCGATCCCTGCTCAAGGGCAGGTACCTGGGTTCCATCCCCGGCCCAGTTGGTAGGGGCACGTGCAGGAGGCATCCAATCAATGCTTCATGCTGACACTTTCTCTCTCTCTCTCTCTCTTTCTCTCTTTCTCTCTCTCTCTCTCTTTCTCTCTCTCTCTCCCTCCCTTCCTCTCCTCCCCTCTGCCCCCTCCCTCCCACTCTCCAAAAACATCAATGGAGAGAATATCCTGGGTGAGGGTAACACCACACAGATGCGCGTGCTCATTCTTCTCTTGGTGTGCCTGCTGCTTTATGCCTGGTGGTGAGGCAGGTCCGCGGCGCTGACCTGGCAGCGCTCAGAATGCACGTACTTGGAGCTCTACTTTCCCGCTCTCACTGCGCGTTTTGGTCCGACCAGCACCCCCTGGAGTCGAGGTGTGACAGGACAGCGTGCTGTGCGCCAGCATAGCTCCCATCCCGCTACAGCGAGGAGCCAGTCGCCCGGGGAAATTGGATGTCATGGGCAAAACAACGAGCCGACCTACCCCTCACACCTCGTATGACAGTTACTCAGAATGGCCACAGGCCCACATGTGAAGCATAGAGCTGAACTGGGGGACACGGGAAATCTTGGAGGTGTTGGGCTAGACAAAGAGTTCCTACTTAGACTCAGCCTGGAAGTGCAGTCAGCAAACGGAGAAACTGACCCGCCGACACGGAAGCCGTGTGCTCTGCTAGGAGGGCTGAGGGGTGGGAGGACGGGCTGAGACCGGGAGGAGGCATTTGCACACACACACACGGTGAAGGACCGGTGTCCAGAGCAAATCACAGCTCAGGATTCAACAGCGAAGCAAACAGCCAATCGGGAAGCGGGGACGAAACACGAGGAGACATGTCACTGAGAGGAGACACAGATGAGGAGGCAGCGGTTGACCCCGAGGCCAGAATCGTTAGCCTTTGGGGAAACGCACATTAAACCAGAATCGTTAGCCTTTGGGGAAACGCACATTAAACCAGAATCGTTAGCCTTTGGGGAAACGCACATTAAACCAGAATCGTTAGCCTTTGGGGAAACGCACATTAAACCCCACCTAGCAGTCTGGCTGCCATAGGAGCAGCGACACCCCAGTGCCGTGGAGGAGCGGGCGGCCTGGCGTGTGGCTGGTGGGAATGTAAATGGCACAGCCACTCTGGGGAACAGCGTGGCAGCTTCCTAACACCCCTCAGCCCGCAGCTCCGGCGGACTCGGCGGGGGGCACCTGGGCGCTGCCCCAGAGAGATGGAGGCCTGTGTTCACACCATAACCCGGCAGTGTTCCCCGCAGCTCTGCTCCTAACAGCCCCGTCTGGTCCCGTCCACGGCAGAGCGGCATTCCGGGTGCGGATGGGCCACGGGGTGTCTGTCCACCCCCCAGAGGACTCCGGGGT